TAATAATCTCATCTAGGAAAACATTTAGAATACATTACGCTTACGATACCCACGAATCTAACAAACTTTATACACTTGTGAGCCCACATTGCGATCATTTAAAATTAAAAAGTAAACAATTAATATACGTTGATATTCGTCATTGTCTCGTTCCTAGAACATAAATCGTATAAATCGCGTAAACAATTTATAAACACGTCGTTATTTCTAATAAAAATGTACCGTTAGAGTTACACCACACCGACGATATTGAAGTGTCAGAGTTGAAAATGTTTGAGTTACTACTCTTGTATCTACGAACGAGACGAGGCTCTGTGAATACACGGCAACCGTGGTGTCGAAAGAAAAGAAAGAAATCTTTTACACTGTCAGACTTATCTTGATAGTAGCCGAGCATGCGGTCTCTATCAACCGGTAAGTGCAGCGTGACTAGAGTCTCCGCGTTATTGCGCTACGGAAAGGTCGCGCTAGGGTGCGTCAAGTATGGCCCTTGACGTGTTTTCCTGCAGGGTCATCCAATCGAGCCTACTATTTACACGAGGCTACCCCATCGAACATAAACGCGGTGCCTCTCGAACCGAGAAGACCGGTTCGTTGTACATTTTTCACACGATCCGTTGTGAAAATTGACGCGTTTACTCGATGACTTCATGAAGCCTTCCGCCGCGAGTGTTTAACAAACATATTTCATTTTCAATTTAAGCGAGTTGCGTTCGAAGATATTTTTCACACGTCTGGTTCCCGAGTGTTAATAAAGTGCATCCCCAAACAGGAGCACACGCTTGAATCGCACTTGAAAATTTTGTCTTCGTGAAATTTCTCAGATGATAAAACGATTCCTTTATATCAAGATTAATATACTCGTATTATACGTAATAAGTACCTGTAAAGTTCTCCTTATAATTTTCAATTCATTTTTAACCGACTTCGAAAAGGAGGAGGTTACTCAATTCTACATGTATATATATGTAAATATATATATAAATAAATAGTCAGCGGTACGATATACCTAGCTTTTGTATTAAACCACAATAACATTTTTTATGTTATGTTTATTTTTCTTTTTTAACATAAAAAATGTTATTGTGGTTTAATACAAAAGCTAGGTACATCGTACCGCTGACTATTTTTTTAGATCTATTAATAACCAATATTTTTGTATTACATTATTTTCACGTATATCCCACCGTTTGGCCAGGGTACGCCGATAAAGTAACCAAGCAACGCTTTTCTTCCGACTCGATTTACGAATTTTCAGATTTCAAATTGAAAATATATGTTTGTTACGTTACTCGGGGATAGCGTAGCTTTCTATTGCCGAAAAAGTTTTTAAAATCGGTTCAGTAGTTCGGAAGATTACCCTACGTGAACAAAGATTAATAAAATCTAAAATGTTCGTTTTAAATCATTTCTAAATCGTCTCGATACCATGCACGTGGATTATAATAATCAACTCGTACTATACATTTGCAGAGCGATCTTGAAAACTGTGGCAGAACATAACTTTTGTACGTGAAAATATTGCATACTGAATGCACAATTACAGTTAAATATGTCTGAAATTTAGCGATACTGAAGTAAACAAAATTAACCAAGTTTCCAGCGTTGGTTGTCAGCTAACCTTAATTTTACGAATTGTATAAATTTGTTAACTTTCGTAATCGACTGTCAGTATCTATAAAAGTGCGAGCCAGTTGCTTTCGTTTCTTTCTCGAAGACTATCGGTAGCCAAGAACATCCGATTACCCTTGTTAGTAGAAAACGTCAACCTTGAACTCCGAATACGTTCTTGGCTTCTTCACGACCTACCCCATGATTGAGGCACGCGATGCTGGTAGCGAGTCGGAGCAGATGAACACGTGCACCCAGTGTAAATATTTAGCCTTTGGAACGTTTGCACATCGTGCTTCTACTTTTCCTCTTTATTCTGCTTCTTCTTGCGAGATCCCAGCGAGCTTTCGATCTCCATGCCGCGTCTGTAAATATCGACGACTGTCTACGGTATACTTCTGTGTGAAAGGATTAAAGGCCTCCTCTCGTTGCGTCGATCCGATTCGTATTTTGATTGATACGACCCATCGTTGTATAAACTTATAATAGCTCTACTATATTTGTTGAAAGAAATGGAACGCCACGAAATAATCTGGTGGCTGAGTGACATTATTTCATTTTATGAAATGTATGTGTATACGTACATACTTATTTGGACGAGTGAAAAAATATCAGACGAAAACATGGTATGGTTTGATGGACATACTATGATAGAAAAAAAAAAATAAGAATTTCAGGGTCACTGACCTTTTTTGTAATAGAATACAGTATTTTATATTATTTTATATTATACTACATCCAAGCGCAGAAATCTCAAGCCATTTGCTAAATATTGTGTCCCACGTTTAATAGTAAGATTTATGTTTTGAACCGGATTGGAGACATTAAAATTTGTTATTAAAAAGATGGTTTGTTTTTTAATCATTTAAAACGAAACCTTTTAACGGAAGACCCTGTACATACGTTTTGCAACTTCTCTACGTATCGGTATACATTTTGTATATTCAACAAAGCGTCGGTCGAAATCCGCTAGCAATGTTTAATATTAACAAGCAGATCTCCATGTTCCGGCTAGTTAGAAGAATCAGAGGGTTGCTTCTACATGCCCATGGATATCGACGAAGTAAAAGGATCGGATAATTGAAGTCCGTTTCCTCGGGACTCCGATCGAGCGTTCCGGCCGAAGTCCTTAGAAGGAAACGGACCCCGCTGGTATCGCGGACATGCGATCTGTCTTTATGGTCCGAAAGTGGGCGTCGGTCTGGCTTCACAATGCCAGCGTAACGACGACACAACGAGGACAACGACAACGACAAAGACGGACCCGACGAGAGAACGAAAGACTCCTGTCTTGTCGATCCGACGAGACAGCCCAACAGCGTGTCTGTCGGCTGACTCGACTGACGTCCTCGGTAGTCCTTGTGAGTTACTGGTGCCACCGACAAATTATTTTTAAAATTAGGAAACTACCGCGATCGTACATTTCCAGTTAAGAGGGCGCATTGTAATTTCTAATGTAGAGTAATTTCCAATCTTGAGACCGCTTTTCCGCGACATTTCTCGGCATTTCTTTTTCAAAATCAAAGTTTTCACATAGATTATTGTTATAGGCGTATGTACTTATATTCGTACAGCATTCACGAATTGTTTCTAATCAAATGATGAACCTAAAAAATTCTCCCGAAAAAATTGAATATTGCATTTTCAGAGGTGTATAACGAAGGAACATAATTTTTTGCCATTTTTACGCAAAAACGACTACGTTTGATGGTGACCTCCAATGGATGGCAGTTGAAATCTTCCATGTTTGACGAGAAAATACTTCCAAGAAATTATAATATTTACTTGGATATATCTAGAAAATGTTCTCAAAGTTTCATTACATTATATACATTCCTTTCTTGCTAAAAAAAATTCATGCATATCACTGAAAAACGTACTCCTATACCTATTTCCCTAAAACCCGAGGCACCCTGTAGTTTCTTACTTCTTACTTTTTTTTCTTTTATACCTAACATTTCCAGACGACTCAATTATCGTTAAAGGTTACTTTGAGGAAACTCTAATCGAGGGCTGCATGCCTAAACCTGCAAAGCTATTAGATATTCCCGTAAGATCTCTTCATGTTCGAATCTTAGAAAGAAGAAGTTTGGACGTCCATAATGATTAGGATTGATTTCCTAGATTCGCTGTTTCAAGAACACCCTGTATTTTGAATGTTAAGAAGTTGCGTACATCAAACAGAAGCTAGATCTTTCGAGTGGGCCTATTTAACAATCATTATACTAGACGCACGGCTGGTGCAACGACAACAATCGCCTATTGTTGTTTGTTAGCGCCACGGGGAACGTGGCTTTGCTAGATGGAGCTGCACGTATACCTACGGTGTGAATTATTCTGTGCAGTTTCTGCATGCCTAGAATTAATTATCTGACAGGAAATTCACTGTACCCCGCAGGGTCCTCAACGACCTGTAAGATGTTTATGGATCAACGTACTTCATCCCGCTTTTAGCCATTATGCAAAGTATCAGGTTGTCCTGAAAGTTTCTTTCGCGAGTTGCACTCAATTACTTTGTGTGGTGGTGTTTCTATAAATAGACAATATAATTTCATCAGATATTCATGTTGTAACAGTAATGGAGCAAAATGAATCGTGCACAATTCAGTAATGTAACATAAAACATAAACTATTGTGCATGTATTACTAATTAATAGAGCGAAAGAAACTTTTGGGACAACCTAATATCTACGAATTATTGCATTTATCCAATTTCTCCGAATCTTTCGTATGATTTGGAAACAGATTTGGCAAACATGTTGAATCGCATATTTCACGCGTACGTAACGCAAAAAGAAACTATGAAGCTGTTTATACAAATAAACGAATAAAAATTAAATCTTACAATTTAATTCTCACGAATTCATACAAACATATTGAATTTCCTTCAGGATTCACTTTATGATATTACATTGTTCTTTTATATTATAATCCATTAATTTGTAAACGTAATAATAAAAGCAAAACTTTGTGGTAATATAGTAACACCAAATTTTAAGGGTTAATTGGAAAATAAAATTCAGTTAACATTTTGTCCTCTTCCAAGAACTCTATAACCCAAATAACTACCTTTTGTACATAGATATGTATATTCGTTTATATATATCTCTCTGTATATATATATATATATATATATCTATATATATATATAATATTTTGTGTCTTTTTTCATACATAAATTATTTGAATAATAGAATTCCTGGAGTAGGTAGAAGCATTAAATAAATAACTTCGTTTTCCAATAAACCCATTAAAACTGATACTAACCTGAGTTTTACTTTCATTATTACACATTACAAATATAGCCAAGTGAAAAAGAAACGTATTTTATTTATTGTCTACCGTGTGAATGCAAAGTATCTAACGTTTTTCGAACGATTTGATTTCAGGTGTATCAGGTGGAATACGTGATAGTGAAAGCAGCGAATTCACCACGACCGGCAGCTTGGATTTTGGAGAGATCCCTCGACGGTGAACACTTTCAACCATGGCAGTATTACGCGCCGAGCGACGAAGAATGTTGGTCGCGGTATTCCGCGCCGCCAGTTTCCGGAAAACCCGTTTACATCGGTGACGACGAAGTCATATGCACCAGCCTTTACTCCAGACAAACGCCTATGGAAAACGGAGAGGTAACCCTGTCTGAATTTATTTATATTGTAGGAGCATCTACGAAAAATAAGGCGTGGAGAATCGAACCCACTATCTTCGGATCAAGTGCCATTTCTTCGTTTCAATGATTTGTACAGTCACTTTGAAGTCGAATTAATTCAATAATTACGCTTGGAACCTAACATTATTCACCAATAGTCTACGATGAAAATAAACACGAGTCGAGTCTTTTAACCGTGGATTATTCATTTCCATAAAATAATTCTTCGTTAGATTTTCCTAAAAGGAGTCACGCAACACGCGCAGTTAATTAATCCTGCCTGCATAAATTTCCAATATCATGGATCTCTTTGATTTCCTAAATGTAAAACACCGTAGAACGTAATTTCATTTCTAACTGAATTGCGTCGAAGATCACTTGGCGAGTTTTTCATTTCCATGATTCAATTGAAGTCGGTTTTCATTTACACCGTACACCGAGAACCGCTTTTTTGTTGTCTCGCTGTTGCTTCACTGAATAGACAAATAGAAGCCGGATCTCAAAGAGCTGTGATCTTGGATAACTAATGCTCGCGTGTAATGAGGGGCTGATCGCAACAGAACGATCAGACTTTTTCTCTCACTAACGGCCGCGAGCTCATCTTCGCTGATCGATGGTATTGCGGAAAGCAATCGTAAATCATGATTATGAAGTTTGCCCGTTAGGCGAATGATTCAGTATCGTCGTAAAAGTTTCCTTGCGTTTCCTTCGTTTTCCCTTGGAAAAGAAAGAAACTATAAAGATTGCCTCGTTTTCGCGAAGTACCGTTCCTTATTTTCCGTTTAGACTGCTGGAAAATATCAACAATTCAATTAGTTATTACAAGTAACGTATTTTATTTATTGTCTTTCGTTCCTTTTTTGTGGAACGAAAATGTTCGATGTATATCAATTTTACAGTTTTTACTCGTTGTATTCTTTATCGTTATCATTTACAAATTTACCAAGGTTCGCCTAATATAATTGTTTACAACTATTTACATATATATTGTTTTACTATCTCATCGACTGCTTGGTCATCGGCGACGAAACACAGTTCGTATTTGTTCCCCTTTGTTCAGTTAAACATTTTTCGTTTCAATTCGAGTGTTTCAGAACTTACCCTTCTATCGTGTACTTTATCTCGTAATCGACAAGCTTTCGATTCCCCTGATCCAATTGTTCGCAAAGATTTACATTGTTTGTACGTCGGAAGAGATCGAAGAGAATGTTGATTGAAAAACGTACGTTCGAGAATACGACGAAGGAACGGTGTTCGCTGCTCGTCGAGGAACTTTTACGACTGTCAATCATTGCTCGTTCCCGTTACGAAGCTGCGGCGTGTTATTATACGCGTTCCTCGCGAATATTCGAAGCACGAAAACAGCTGTTACTCCGTCTTGTCGCTGTGCCCGTTCGAAACGAGATCATTAATTATCGTGCATTCTGTGCGGCCGCTCGTATAATTACATGATTGGATGATTAGGTGTCCGATCGTTTAACTCTGTACAAAGAGAGGCGCGGGGCGTCTCAACGGAAACAACTCTTCCAAGGCATTTCCGTTGAGCTTGACGCTTTTTGCCAATGCATCTTTCGAAGTCCCATACGGAGCAATTTCAGAGCAATTAGAACATTGGCTTGATGATTGGAATCTGGATCGATGGATCGACTGAATGTTTATAGGCGCGAAATTGGCGAACGTTGTTGATTGAACAACCGTTCACGGTAAAAGTATTATACAGTAAACGAACAAAAGATGATTTGAAATTACCACTTGTATGGACGAATAACGGTAACTTCCACATGAGACGTTTAATTTTATTGTTGTTACTACCGATGTACGTATTCTATGGTATTCTTCACCTCGCGTCACTCAAATATTATTTTATTTATACAACGCAATTAATTTATTTTGTGCGATGTCTATAGTAGACAAAAGTAAGTTTAAAAGCCGACCTCGTGCTAGTTTTTAAAATTATTAAACGAATTCATACGTGAAACATACTCTGAAATGTTATAATAAAAACAGGTAATCTCTCTCATTTTACGATATTTTCTCACCTTTAGACATAGCCGTTATACCGTCTATAAAATCGCTGTAGTTTCGTTACGGAATATCGACACAATCTTCGGGCACGAACTTACGGGGCGACCTAATAATAATATAAATTTTAATAAAATTGAATGATTCGGAATGTTGAAATAATATTGAATCTTCGAATTGTTATTCATAGCTCGACTAAGACAACATTTTGTCAATGGATAAACAAAACCGCACAATAACGAGAGAACAGTAAAAGTGGCCTTTCGGGTCTCCCGAGCTGCTTATACAGGGTGTCCCAAAACTCGCGTAGAAGCCGGAAATGGATGATAGCTGAGACGATTCTGAACAACGATTTCCTTTCCAAAAATGTCGGTGGGGGCTTCGTTCTTGAATTATTAACGAGAAACACCGATCAATCACAGCACCTAATTAGCGCGCGCTCAGCTGGCCACGCAACGACCGGGCGCAACCAGCCAATCCTGCCTCGAGCTTATTCTCTCGCGACTGAGTGCGCATTAATTGGACGCTGTGATTGGCCGGTGTTTTTCGTTAATAATTCAAAAACGAAGCCCTCACCGACATTTCTCCAAAGGAAATTGTTGTTCACAATCGTCTCAGCTACCCTCCATTTCCGGCTTCTACGCGAGTTTTGGGACACGCACTGTATATCTATTATTTCCATCGAGTAAAGAAATTCGATGCAAAAGTCGTTTATCGATCACCTACTGGGTGACGAGTGTAGTGGGAAGGTTTCCTATCAAACGCTTGTCGCCAAGAGTTTATTCAATGTTAATAAAGGAAAAAAAGGCTGAAAGTATCGATCTACCAGCGAACGTGTTAATTTTATCTCAAGTATGGGATTAATACGGTCAAAGTTGTTCGCAAGATCCGGTCAAATTTCATTGTTGGAAGGCCATAAACTAACCGCGAAAGTGAGTCAACGGCGCCCTCGGTGGGGGGAAAATTAGCGGATTACTTGGAAGACCAGCGGATAATTAGAGCTTATAGCCGTGCACGAGCCCGCGCGCACCCGAGATCGGTTTTGCGCAAACTGGAAGGTGGATGAGAAAAGGAGGAGGACGGAGAGATCGGTCGCGGAGGGAGCCGAACAGGGAGAAGGAATCGATGATACAAAAACGGCGATCCCTACATTCCCGCCATGTATGGCGCAGGCTAACCTTATATGGGGCTATCACGTACGCACCTCCTAGGGGGGGGTTGTCCAGCTTTACGCTTCTGTACGCGGGTAGAACTCGAGGAGGGAAAAAATCGGAACCCAAGGAACGGGGAATCGACGAGCAGCGTGCGTCACGAGAGGAACAGTCGTCGCGGTTTCGCGAGAATCGGTGTTCCAAGATAGCGAAGCCGACGAACACATTTGGAATGTCTGCCTCTAGTCAGTGTTGGACGTTATTTCAATGAGAATTTATTTAAATACGGTAGAGCCTTTGGTATTCGCACTCATTGGCAGACAAAAGTGGCCAAATAAGGGATTCTCGAATAATAGAACAATCAGTTTTTCTTTTGTATTAAATTTGAATTTATTCGAATAGAAACTAACGAAATTGACAATTACGTCCAATATTTAAGCATTCCGTATTGTTTTTACTGCTAAATCACGTAACTTTTTCAACATAAGCAACCGTGTAGGTAGATTCTCTTCGTACTTCAAACCGTCAAAGCTCTTGTTTAAATGCCTTTCGTATTCGCACCAATCGGACAGAATTGGCCAAATAAGAGAATTTTCGAATAATAGAACAATCAGTAAATTTGAATTTGTTCAAATAGAAATGAACGAAATTGACAATTTGTTTCAATATTTAATCCTCCGACGAGTAAACATTTTTGGAGAATACACAAGGTTTATGAGTGAGCTTTGTCCCATAACATAAACGATCTTTTATTTCTTAATGTACAGAGCGTAACAATCTGTCCCGCGTAACAATTTTCACGATTTTTCAAGTACTTGCGATAATCTGACAAAAACATATTTTAAACAAGCGTTGATCAATCTTCGATTGGCTATAGATTCCAAGAAACAAAAAGTTGAATAAAAATTTTTCGTAGTACTGTCAAGGCCCCTCTATAAGCTAATATTTTTTAAAAATTAATCAACCGAGTATAAACATTTTACTGAGCCCATTTTTTGAGGGCGTATATATATGCGCCCTTCGCAATCAAAGGGTTAAGGAAGGTGCACCATTTCTCCTTAAGAAGACGACGCTGAACCTCTTGAGAGAATAAGCCTAAGAAAGTAAAGTAAAGACTAATAAACAGTATGAAACGTAGGAAAGTGTAGGTGCCTGCATTCCAAAACCCATGTAATTGTTCCGTATTAGGCGCCGCGTATAGCCATTTATAGGACTCGTTTTCTTAACACGCGATGCCATTCGCGAATGATTTATTCCCTTAGGCTCATTGTTAGCGTTCTGCTGAATTTAGCACCGTAACCAACCGTTTCGATTTCTCACTGTTCATTGCTAGCGTGGTAATCACTTATGCTGTAATTTACGTCGGTGAATTGTACAGCATCAGAACAGATTTAACGTCTCTGTCGCGTTTGTATACGGACACCTCGTCAAGTAGAAAGTTGCAACTGTTGAAGAAACGAATATCTCGATAGAAATTTTATCATTTTTCACGTGATTCGTATATTATTTCCCTTAGATGTTTTTTTTTTTTTTTTTTTTTTAAATACAGATCAAGGTAAACATAAACTTCTATTGCTGGTTGTGAGAGCAGTAGCGAAGGGTTTCATTTATGTTAATGTTTTGGACCAAGATGAAAACCATTTACAGGATAACTTTATACACTATAGAATTTTTAAGTTGACAGATATGAAATGCTTCTGTTACGCTATATACGATAAATTCAAATGCATTTTACGCGGGTGAAGGGAACACAAAGAAAACATTTATACAAATAAATTGGATATATATATATATATATAGGTAATCACAAAATTTGCTTCTATATGAAGATTACGAAATAATTAACGATTAATTCATCCAGTACTGTTTATTTTTTGTCAGACTTGAATGGAGAATATAGAAAATGAAGCAGGCAAAGGGACGAGATGCAGCTTAATCGTTACTTCTAAGCATATCCTCGTATTATTTTTACCCGACGTGAATATTCGCATTTCGATTCGATAAAGTGCAAGGAGACTCTCCAACGACGCAATATCGTGACATTTACGTTTATGAAACAGTAGGATCATGCTACCACCGACGTTTGTAAGCAACGATTTTCCTTTGTAGATCCATACTCATCTGGTGAACGGCAGACCTGGTGCCCTGAATCACAGCACGACCCTTCAAGAATTCACTAAAGCTAAATACGTACGACTACGACTTCAGGGTCTTCGACGTAACGGGGAAGCGATCGTGGACAAAAAACGAGCATTTTACTCGATAAAGGAAATTAATATCGGTGGAAGATGCTTGTGTTCCGGACACGCGGCTCGATGTCGGTACAGCGTTCAGCATGGGGTGAGTAAAAGACTTTGCTCCAATTTCGTACAGCTAAACCAATACTGTAAGAGTTCGAAAGATAAATTTAATTGATTTATCAATTACTTGCGCGTTGTCGTAAACAAAATTTACAGAATAGGATGTTGTGTTACATGTTGTTTGGTTCTTGAGAGAAACTTAGTGCGGGTAATAAATATTAGGCGGGCTGAAAATGAAATGTCGTTTCTGCGAATCTCAATACTTATTTAGCATTCATCAGTTCATTGATTTTTATCGATCAGGTATTGAAATGCACACTAGATGGCAAAATTCCGTCGATAACTGGAACGATTGTATAATTAATTAAAAATAAAGATATATTATAAATATATTCGTTTGAATTTAATGTAAAAGAAACGACATCAGATGTTTTTCGGTCCCCCTAATAATTTGGACGTAAGACAAAAATATGTTTCAAATTTCAAATTAGAAATACGTAGACAAAAATATATTTTAAATTTTGTATTACATTTGTGACCTCATTTATGTATAGACAGAAATTATTTCAAATTAAGTATTTCAAATATTAAATTACATAGTCAATATCATTTACATGTTGACAGAATGATGTATTTCAAGTGTTTAATGACTTGTTCAATACTACTTGCTAGTATAGATCTCTAGTATAGATCTTTTTCGACACAAAGAAAGTGTAATGTATAATAATCATTCCAAATTTAGAATGAAACTGATAAGAACAGAGGCAAGAATATAAACAAATAAGAGCATGAATTGTCATAATCCATACGATCAATATTGAAAAATATTTTAATCACTCTTTATGATGCTAAAATTCATTTATAAATTGATGTCAGGTATTCATAAATTGTTGGTAAATCCATACATAAATTATTCGAAATGATAATGCTTGCACTGATTAGCTCCGTCGATGATTAGGTTCCTCAATTCGTAAGCATCGATTTTAAATTAATTTTCTCCCCGATAGTTTTGATTGCAAGTTACTGGCTTTTTTATATTCGCATTATTAATTACGAGCAGTACCATAATTCCATGTCTGGAAGGAAATAATCTACTTTTCAGTATCCTGTTAGGGTTGGGTCTTGCAGCAGCAATTAATATTAGGCCTCACCTATTCACCGGTATCTAGGTTACTTTTCTGTGGAACTTTTTATTCGTTACACGTATTTATAGTCGCATCAACTGCTAATGGTTGTTACCGGGTTCTACCTCTGCAGACCTAACTCAGCTAGGCATAAATAAAATCGTACATTATCTGTGAAATTTATTAACGCTGTTAAATTCATCCTATTTATGGTGTAATAAAAGTTTGCATTAACATTACTTACCCACTATCCATCGTTATTTTCATGTTTATAGAAATTCGAGAACTTGTTTCGTTTTTACTGAAATATGCATATAGTGTTAATAATTTAACGTGATTGTCCGTGAAAAAATTTGAATTCGTTGATGCTTCTTTTTTCTTTCGATATGTATATTATTCACGGTGTAGGTTCAAGGCTTACTTTTCCAACAAATATGGATTTTATGATTCACACCTTGACTTCAAACGAATTGGAAGCACTGTAGTTTACACGTTGACTGTCATTTATCATATTAGAGGTCATAAAATTCACACATTAACTCCCGACAGATTACAAATTCTGTAATTAACACGTTCGTCGGGAACCCCTTAAAAGCTGTTCCTCTTAGTTAGCAAACCTCAATTTTTTGTTCGCTGAAATTTTTATTACACCCCTATAAATACCTAAAAAAAAAGGGGGTTCTTTACAAAAATTTAATAACGTTAAAAGGAACTGGCTATTCAGTGAAATTAAATTGACGTTAAAATAAATGAAAATATTGACTTTCCAAATAAAATTCGGATACGAATAACTCTAATTAGAGCGACCAAATAGATAATTAAACGCACAAGCAACACGCGTCTCTAAACGGATACGAAAAAATGTAGAAAGCGAATCGTCGCGCAGTCCCATTTTCTTCGAACTCGCATCTCTAAAGTTAGATTTCGCGAATATCTCAGATTCGAAGGGGCAGCCTCTGAAGCCCAGGGAATAAATCCGTCCGAAGTGCCATAAACTTGTCAGACCTTTGTCTGCCAACGCTGCTAATGGCAGGATTGCCTTTTGCTTCGAGCTTGCTGTTAGAAAGCCGCGGTCCCCCGCAGAAACTGCCGTACATAACATTAGCTCAAGTTCTGTGATCGCACGGGAGTCAGTCTAGATTTTCGAATGTCATTAGTTTTTGCTTACGCGAGCTGTCTCTTTGATGAAAGATCGAGGCTCTCTGCGGCAGATAATTGAAAGAAGGACAGCAAAGAAATGTATTCTGGGAATTTGTTAGAGATAAAAGTGACTTGTTAATTATACACACTCGACAGTTTAAATTTAATGTGTCTCCTTACATTGTTTGGGGAGACAAGGAAATACTCTAGTACGATATGATAGAACCTCTATTTAATTAAGGGAATTTTTTTAGGAATACTAAATTACATTTTAATATATTAATAATATAATATAAGAGTATTATATTATATCGTAATAATAATATAACGAGTACTATATTATATCGTAATACTAATATAACGAGTATTATATTATATCGTAATACTAATATAACGAGTATGATAAAAAGTAATTAGAAGCAATAGTAATATATTAATTGAAATGAATAAAATAATTTTCTCACAACAACGTAACAAAATTATAATAGGAACTATTTCAAGCAACTTTCTGTCGTGGAAAGCGATTTCTTCTTAATGACAAACCTCAATCCGCGATCCTACGATTGCGTACAGAGGAAAACAATAACCAACACGAAACATTATTCGCTCTTTCATGGAACGCGATTTCCCTCGATGGCGAAATTATGCGATCGTAGAAATACAGATTCTGCATACTGTTAGCATCCTTGAATGGATATTCGCCAAGTCGAGTTTTTCTAGCAGTCACGGACGAACAATCGTGGTGTTTTAGTGTCCTCGATGGAGGAACCGAGAGCCTTGTTAATTGTTGCGAAACGTTCTCCAACGCGAATTAATCAGCCACGCGATTGTCGCGATGTTTATGACTTTGACATGCAGGAAAGTTGGAAAAAATTGCTGGTCGGTGTTTACATCAAAGGACCTACTGATATTCTCACGTGCCATTATAGTTTTCTCTCAGTTCACGAGTTACTTGTTTTCCACGTGATGAATGCTCGTTGAGCTCGAGACATTATCTAGTCGATCGCTCGAATGGATTTTAACAGAATTTTAGTTCAAGGATAATGTGCCACAGGAACAATTGTAAATCTTGAATCTAGTAGATCTCACGTATCACGTCGTGAATGAATGTAGAATAAAAATATATTTTGATTGATTTCATATGCTTGGAATTATTTGGTATTCGCCTAAAATATCTCAAAAATGTTCTGGTTTTTTAGTTATATTATACTTATACTGACGCAACTATAAAATAATGGCATCCGAATGAATCGTAGTACCTAACAGACACGTTCCATTTCACGGTGAAATTTTGACGTATATTGCAGACCAGAATCAAGCTTCTGTGGATTCCAAAGATATGGCAAAATATAATACGACTTCTATGCTTTTTCTTTTTTAAATATTTACCAAAATATGATGCAATTTCTGTACTTGTTTTAAAACCATGCCAAGATATATAAAAATATATGTGTATTTATATATATATATATATATTTATACTGTACATTGTATGTTGTAAGTAGATTGTATGTTGATTATACGTCAGAGTTTAATTACATTTCTATGAAGGTTCTAAAAATATACAAAAATACATTAAAATCTCTGTGAGGTTTTTCAATGTATACCGAATCATAATTAAATTTCTGTTATGGTTCTAAAAATATACCAAAATGTAATCGAATTCCTGTGAAGGATTTTTAAAGCATAACAAAATATACCAACTACATGCTACCACCATTTATTAAAGACTGAAGAAAGTATCGATATATCACAGTATCATAATATCACAGATTTAATATTATAAATGACATTATCATTTAATTTAATAATTCTAAATACATGTCCATATAACGGCTACAGCAACACTGGAAGGGTTAATGGACAACAAGCGTCGCCTCCCATTACGGACACCGAATAACGAGGTCCTTGATCTTCTAAAAAATTTACTTGTATCGCGATCGAGTGGCGATTGAGCGTTTTTACAATATCGTCATTGACTTTATAACAGACCGATTAGAATCGACTTTTGGCAATGTTCACCGCAGCAAATTGAATTAGTTTTTGGACGGATCTGTTGCGCGATGCATCCGAGGATTGGCACGTACACCGAATTGCAATCGCATCGCTGAATACTGAGCCAACCGACCGAGCATCTCAAATATTTCAGGTTACGGCTCAATCGAACTGTCATCGTCGATCATATAACATTACCATTCTTCCTCGTTCGCTCTTCTTCAAATTACGAATTCGCTTTCCAATTTAATTATTTATTTTTAATATTCACTTTCTATTATCAAAGGTATTATGTAGGTACGTGTGTCCTGCTTTTTGTACCTCTTTTTCTCCCGTTCAACGTTAGCAGAATGCCAAATTGGTTCTTCTGTAAAGTATCGTACAGATCAGGTACACAATTATTGATTCTTGTACGTAGTCACGATGTCGTTAATCAAGTTCTCTATTCACTCATCTCACTAAATCATCCGATAATATTCTATCGAAGTTACTCATTAATTGTTCTAGCGATAGGCCTACTCTCATGAATGACTGCCGTCATTCATGAAAACACAATGAAGCTTGTTATACATCGTAAAAAGCGTATATTACGATTGGCTGTTCACATCTGTCTCGCCACAATATCGTCAAGTTACGATGCAAACATGACTCGTGTGTCTTATCGTTTATAGATTCGTAATTCTAGTACCATGCTATTACTACGTAGAGGAAGTCGTTGATATTCCATTAAAATTATTCATTACGGAGCTCTACATTCGGAGAATCGATTCAAACTTTTACTTACAATTATCTTAAACTCTTCAGGAACGATTATTCTTCGCGCTTTTCTTATATCTCTAACTGTACATCGGAAGTAACATTATCAGTGCAGCCGAATCATACAATTTTTTTACTCCTCTCGTTGTGAGATTCTGTAGCGAATAAATAATTATCAAACTTTTGTTCTGTTTATTATTTACAGTAATCCTAATTATGAAGAACTAAACGTCCACACGCGTGGCCAAGAACGCGAGGAGGTTAATTTATGACCTAAACTGCAAGTATTATACATTTATAAAGCTCCGCAATACGTTACTCGAATGTAACATGAACAATTAATATAGATTATATCAATGAAATATCATACTTTACTGTAATCTCGAAAATTATAATTCGACTAGAAAATTCTTGAACTATCTTATCCATCAAAATACTTTTCTCATTCCTACCGAAGGATCGTTAATTTTGTATTTTCTGCAACGTATCTAAAACAAATACAAGGCGATGCATTTTAAATGAAATTTCGAGTTAGGGGTGAAAGTAACCATCTATAGATGGGATATTGGATACATAATGCTAGAAATGGAAGCGATATTTGCAATTACTGGCCACGTGTAGCGCGGATGAAGCGCCCGGAATTTCTATCGAAACATAAACGAAAAAGCAAGCCTGATAAATTTAAAGATAGTAAACACGAGGTTAAAGCAACGCGTGTGGTTTCATTGTGGCTTTACGTTACGTCTCGTAAAAAGGGGACTGTAAGTCGTCCAGTGTATCAGAGTCTCTACACCAGAGTGCTCGATATTATTTATTGCCGCGATAATAGTTATCCTATGCGCATGCTTGCTGCCGCGTGCAAGTCGTTCACGCTGCAACAAATAACTAGACCTTGTTTTTGATAGTCCTCCTTCGGCAGTATTTTCTGGAGTTGATGTTATGGGCGGGCAACCAAGAACACATTTATCTGTGCAGCGTATACCGTTCGATAGATTTCTTTCGAATCTCGCTCTTTGAAATTACATCTATCGGGTCGGTGCATAATTGTCCGACTTTTTGTTTTCGTACCGTTCAGTCAATTAAAATTCGTCGATTAAAATGTACTTTTTGTTGGTTGTGAGAGACACTGTTTTCAGAAGTTAGTTCATTAGCATCGATATCGGTGATCATATTAACACACTTGCAACTGGCAGACTGGCAACTTTTTAAGATATTTCTAATACCGAGTTCTGATGGAAATAATAAAATTCCCACAAACTTTCAGGCCGTCGCTTAGTTGTAAATAATTAAAAAGAAACAAAGCTGGCAATGCAAAACGAACTAAATGTCACGCGAAGGTCAACATATTGAACCTCGATGGATTGATTTTTGTATAAGCTATCAGACCGTGTAGCGAAAATATGCAGTTCCTGTCGTACGCATAGCTGCAACGATACGCGTAGCGTGTCTGACCATTATCTCATTCTACTTCGGGACTTCAGCCCATTGCACGGAGGGTGACGTATGGGATTTTCGTTTCTTTTTAATTATTTAACCATACTCCAGGACTCGGACCGTTCTGAAACTTTTACATGCGTCACAAGCTAGGAAGAGGTACATATGATTGCGATTAAACATGAAGTATAATGTTGTCACAGATAGCCGTATTTTATCCGAACAAAGTCATTAAGGTCCTTTTATGATACTTATTTGGTTACATATACATAAATAAATATAAGATAAAGTTTCTTCCCCAAAGTTACTTTTACAATACAAATAGTAAGATATTGGGCTGTCTGGAAAGTCCATGGCGATTTTTAGTAGACGGTACAGGTCTGAATATATCGGAATGGCTGAAAACAAACAAAATGTGTACATTCCTTAACAGGTGCAAAAGTTGTGGAACGAAATGGTACATATATAATTCAACGAATACACATCAGAATACAAATATGCTTTTGAATTTTTCTTAAAAATAGGCATGAACTTTCCGGACGACCCAATTATTCGTCGAAAATTATTCGTTGTTACAAAGTATTATTCTTTATCCTGATTAAACATTTTTAATTATCTTAACGTTGCTGTAAATTTGTAATTTTGTTTCCTTATCTTCGTTTCAACTAAAATTCGCGCAAGCCCGCGTGTGAGTATATCTATAGCCGTCACAGTCTCCGTACCTTCTTTTGGTACTCACTAACAACTTCAGGAAGCAATCTACGAGTGTTAGCGCTCGCTACGTTCACGAGTATCCATCTTTGATCCATTACACTCAATGGGATAGAATTCGCAGGCAATTGAGCTTTATGCGAATTAATGTCCACTGATAACGGCCCCGGTTATCTTAACGTTCCTATAAATTTCGATATGTCACGAGGGGGCGATTGCACGCTCGTTCTGTATTCTACTTGGGAGCGTCGCATGCGCGTAGAGAGCAGTCAGATAATCTGTACCACGATACATAAAGAAGCATCCTCGTTGATGACTCGGCCATTGCGATTCATAAAGCGCGCTTGAACGTTTGCGCTATGTTCTCCATTATCCGTTACGGCTTCTGTGTTAATTGATTTAAAAGCTGAGGAGAAATCATCTTAAACCGGAAGTGCAATGGAGTTTGCTCTGTTCCTTTCTCGTTTCAATTAAATTTCCACTCTGGTTTCGTATTAAACCAGCTTGCTCCATGAAATAGCCTTGAAACATCAGCCCCTGAATGTTAATATGCGCATATAGAACAGAATTGAATTCGCAACGATTTATACGTAAAATTGTTAACTTTCATTCGGTAGTAAGATTTTATTTGGATTTACAGGGTTCCGTTTATCCAAAGTGTTACAGCTGTATCTCTGTTTTATTCGAGATCTAAATCCTAAAAGCCTTTTTTGCAAAACGTTTTGTACAATCGATAGTCTTTGCCGAGTCGATAATAACACATTCGAATTGTTTACGTGACTATGAAGAACAAATTTTTTTGAATTTTTAATGAAAGTATGTATTGTTTATCAAGATGACACAAATTATGTAAAATATTTTAGCATAATACATAAGTAGCTCGTGTAAGAGACACGATATATATTTTTATATTCTAATTTCAGTTATTTTTAACCTAGGTATCGTTGATAATGTGAACAAAATGAACGAAATTCTACAAATTCGTTTATACCTTCTTTCTTATTTTCTTATTTGTTTTATACATGCAAGCATTTCTGTAACTAAATACGAAACAAAAGTAATTATCAAGCAATTTCTTTGAAATTTTTATGTCACTTTCAAATTAATTGTATTAGTTTATAGTGATATTAAACATGTTCTATTAAAAAGAAAATTTACGATCTTCTTTACGCAATAATTCGTGACTCGAAATGCTATAAACTTGCCCCCTTTAGTAATTGCAATCGATTTGAACTACGAGACATCTCGTAGTTGCCAGTGAACGGGTTAAAAACAAACGAATTATTCAGGTAGCTCGTTTGAAGTGTCTCAGAAAATATTGTATGGGACAAATTGATTGGCCTGATTTAGTGCAGGCATGTCGTGAACCAGGTAGCTGCTACAAAAAAAAAAAAATATGCGATGTGATTTATTAAAATGTCGACGAGGTTGAATGTTCATGTATCGACCAGTTACGCGAAAGATTGACAAGGTTCCATTAAGAAGTGGTATTGTTTCTCAGCATCAAGAATGCGAATGCGAGCGCCACACGTGCGGTGAAAGATGCGAAAAATGCTGTCCCATGTACAATCAGATTCCGTGGAAACCTGGCACAGCTGCGAAGGGCTTTCACTGTGAGAAATGCAACTGCAATGGACATGCAACCTCATGCAGATATGATCAGGAAGTGGCCGATGGAAGAATGTCCATGGACATTCGTGGGAAATTTCGTGGCGGTGGTGTCTGCATTAATTGCACAGTAAGCTCGAATTTGTCAAGAAAAACCAATTCAATTTGTCGTCAATTTGAAGAAACGAAGTGTTGCTAACAATACTCTCGCTGTAGTTGTAGAACCGACGGAAGACGTAAAGTGACGTAATTAATCTTACTGTTGATGATGGAATCAAACATGTCACGAATAGAGGGTTTTTCAAAAGAGATATCAGGTGTTTGTTTCTTTTTTTCTCTTTCTTTATTAGAACATAAATGGCGTAGAATATATCCGATATTTGTTATTTTAACACTAAACCTACCGACGTTCATTGGTAATTATTTCTACCGTGATGGGATAAATGACTAGTCTTAAAGATACTTTTTCTTCTTGTATAATTTTATTTTACATTATGTACGATATTTTCTTCTTGATCAATTTTCATTCTTGTACAGCACAATTTAATATGAATCTTTAAGCGGTACTCTTTCTTTTATCAAATTTCGAGGAATTTTTAGTGATTTTTTTGCGACCAAAGTAATTGACATAAACTTTTGAAATGCGGTACATTCATTTGTAGATGTATATGTATAAAAGATTCTATTAAATTTACAACTGACCTGCTGAATTTGTGTCGAAGTTATGTAAGTCAATATTTCACGTCACGACAATGGAATAGGTCAAAATTTTGTGTCTTATTTTTTTTTCCCGTAAATAAGTATTATTAAAATTTTAACGCGATATAGTCCATTTTGGTGGCCCGAAGCACTAAGAAATGATCTCGATTTATGCATTACGAATGTGATTATCGTATGAACTAGGGAGAAACTATCAACAGAAAATTGACAGAATGACGACATTTCATACTTCATACTTCGTTTTTTTCTTTTATGTGTCTTCAGTTGCTCGAAAAAAGATACTAATTTTTATGATTTATAAATATCACAAATATCGTAATCCGCGCCATAGACAGGTGTGTTTTTTACACGAATGCAAAATGTTGAAATCGCTCTGGAATGTGAGTTTCGAGATAGCGCGTTAACATGAAAAGCAGTGTTTCGAAAAAAAAAAAACGTGTTCGATGAACCTTTGACGGTTCGTGTTGTGAAATATAAATAATTATAAGTTTGGCAATTTTGACAGTTTTTTTTTTTTATATTTGATTACATGACTCGATAGAAACATTTCGAAGACTTTGAGCAACAAAAATATCAATAAGAAAATAATCTATTTTTAGGTCCGGAAAAAAAGAGCATCTTCTTAATGTTATTCGCTTGAAAATAACCATAGAAATTTTTTTTTTTATGCAGGAAACTTGTACCAGTTCTTCTAGTACTAAACGTTCGAAATGGTTTGTTTCAGGAGCACACAGCTGGTATTAATTGTGATAAGTGTCAAGATGGATATTACAGGCCAAACGGTGTTGCCCCTGATGCACCTGAACCATGTTTACCATGCAACTGCAACGTACATGGTAGCACAGGGTACTGCACTCCCGATGACTCCTTCACGCACATGGGAAAGGTAGAAACATACTTACACTCAATGACCTATGTCAAAAATTAGAGTTATTTTACACATTTAATTAGTAATTAAATTGATACCCAAATATTGTTGATACGTTCATGGTCTACAAACACAGTTGTAAGTATCATTTTGCGACTATAAATGACAGTTTAGCTCCTTTTTCTATGCCATAATATTACCATATTTTTTTTTTGCCATAATACAAAACATCTTAAATGGTAAAAATGTCAATAATGACTTGGTTCAGTTTTTTTATCAATAAAAACCAGAAGTTCTGTGAACATGGAATTATGACGCTGCCCGAAAGACGGCAAAAGATTATCGATAAAAATCGACAATACATTACCAAATAAAAGTATGTCCTTCTCTACAAAAATTGTGCTGTAATCTCTTATAAAAATTCGCAATTACTTAGTTGCGTTAAAATTTTAATAATACTTATTTAAGGGAAATATGTCGATGACATCAATTACAATAACAACAAAAAAATAAGACACAAAATTTTGACCAGCACGATATTTACCCCGAGAAGGATTCCAAAACACGTTGCCGCTAACACGTCCGTCTATCCTGCATATTTGCTTATTTTCGTAAAAAGACTTGTATTTGTACGAAACATGCAATACAATTCCAATTGTAATAACAATAAACTTCACAACGATGTTACGCAAGACGTCGTTGCTTCCGCTAAACGCATCGATCTTAATAGAATTAAACACCGATTGTGTTCCAGGTAGCAGGTGCGTGCGATTGCAAACCTGGCTATTCCGGCTACAAATGCGACCAGTGCGCTGCTGGTTATCGTCAGTTCCCCGACTGTATGCCCTGCCCGTGCGATTCCCGTGGGATTCTTCCATCTCACGACTGCGAAGGGGACTGTCTCTGCAAGGCAAACGTCGCAGGCGAATTCTGCGACAAATGCAAGCCGGGATACTTCGCCCTGACTAAAGAGAATCTCGACGGTTGCGTTCCGTGTTACTGTTTCGGAGTCAGCGACCGTTGCAGCGTAGCGAAACTGAGTTACTCCGCGGTAAGTCTTCGTAGAAAAATTATGTTGTTTTACAATAAAAATGGTCTGAATTTTATTCAAATGATACGCAACGAATAGAAACACTGCGTAATTTACTGCGTGATTTGTTAAACTTATCTACTCGGTTGAAAAGTTATATCGGAAGGATGTTATTCGTTCTACGTGGAGCGTGATTTGATTTTATAAATGAAATTATGGATTTCGTAGGACAAATGACGGAATGAGAATTCTTTTGTGTTTTATTTCTTACTCAAAATTTGTTATCTAGGTGAGAATAAACACCATTGAGTGCTTTAAGACTCTTATATACGGGGTGTCCCAGCCTAAGTGATACAGAGCTCTAACGACAAAACCATCGGCCGAATGCAAAATTTCAAACATGGAAATTGCATAGTAAAATGGGACTCGTGTTTCAGCCAGAAGGAATTTTTGTTAACTTTGTCGTTTAACGAGATGTGATGGTCAAGTGTCGTTTTTCAAATAGAACTATATATTTTTTATCATACCATGCGATAGTACATTTCAAGACCAATTCATTCATGTATACGACTTATACATGATACAAGGATTATTTATTAATCGACTTCGAAAAGAACCAGGTTACTCAAGGCGACATATATATATATATATATTTATATTCTTTTTTGAACTCAAATATTGTTTGGTACGACATGCACCGTGCGAGACTCCTGTTATACTGAGTACTGCCTCGAAGTAAGTAACTCGGTCGGGACCGATGAGTTGCTTATTTCGAGACGATACTGTACTACTTTCAATGTGCTTCTTCTGACACGTCGATGCTTTTTTATTATTGGAATTTTCGGGAAAGTGAGAGGGTGGGGCATCTCGAACTGTATAAACAAAGAAAAATCGACGCACAAGTAAAGCAACACGCTGAAAACTGCTTCTGACGACTCAGTCTCGGCAAAGTCTATACTGGCACGTGAAATAAACAGGCAACCCTAACTCGTCACTCTATGCCAATGGCGTTAAAGATTGCACTTCAATATAAACGAATGACGCCAACAAAATTTGTATACGAATGGTTTCTGTGATCCGTGGAAGTTAGGGGGCGAGAAATAATTTGTATACCTGTTATAAAACGGTTATATAGTAATTATTGTCCATTTTCGTGAATTATTTCCAGGTGTCGTCTTTGGAAAATTGGCTAGTCACCGACGTGAACGCATCCCGTGCCATTGTCCCCGTTTTGGACACGGATAATGGTTGGCTGACGGTGGCAGCCTTTGAGGTCGAGTACGATAGTCCTTTCTGGTTGGCCCCGCCAATTTATTGCGGCAATCGTCTCTCGTCTTACGGCAGCAATATTACTTACTCTGTCACCTGGGTCGTTATGCGCGGTGACACCAGTGGAAATCCAACCGCAGGACCCAACCTTATTCTAGTTGTAAGTATTCAACGCCATATGAATGGTATTACGAGCGAGAAATTTGAACACGTTGAAAGAGAAGCATATATATCGCTTTCACGTTAACGATAATTCATGAGACACGACCGATTCAGATGTTTGCGTTAATGTTATCAAAATTAAATTTCGTATAACATAGGTTATTACGTACTCGTTCCTTCTACGATCAGAGCCTAGTTTATTTATCGTTGCTGATGTCATCTTCCAAGTCATTCGCACTGTAAATTAAAATGTCGACTTTCCTGAAAGCTGGCATCGTCAATGCCTTCCGCTATCCGCTCTTAACACTTTGACCGCGGGATGATTTTTGCTGGATATTCTAAGAGGTGTAGAGGTATGAATATAAAAAAAATATCAGCTCGTAGGGTACGATAAGACGGAACTTTTTTATATTTACAGTTCATTCAGAAAACGTTTAGTTTGCAAAAATAAAAATTGAAAACTAAAAAAAAGATCTTTTTCCTAAGATCTCGTAGTGGTTCGATCCTGTTGCTGTTTTCTTAAAGAAAAAAGCAACAGTTGAATGATAGAAATTAAAAAAAAAAAAAGTATCACCTTATAGAGAATGATAAAACGAAACTTCCTTTTGTATTTACATTCTTTTTCGTAGGACGTTTAGTTTACAGAGATAAAAATTGAAAATTTAGAAGACCTTCTTTTCTGAAAGAACAGAACTAATCGAAGATTCTTCTACTCAAACAATTTCGTTATTTTCTTACGAGGAACTTTTTTGTTTACGACTACCCAAGGCACTTCAGATCATCGAGTAGTAGTTAGACCACCCTGTACATTTCTCTCTCTCTTTTTATTTATAGGCGCTTAGTTGGCTCCGACAGGCAGATTGCAATGATTACCATTTTTGTAAAATTAATCTTTCGGTCCTGTTGCTTCTCAGGGTAATAACGGCATGCGGATAGCTTACGGCGAGGAACAATATAATGGCCAGGAAGCGGAGATCAGCGTTCCTCTGCGCGAAAACGGCTGGTATCACGTACGCAGCGAGGTTCAAGATATTCCTACCAAATTAAGGAGAACCGAATTTCGAGGAGATCCTGTTACGAGGGTACAAATGCTGCGTGTTCTTGCAGATTTGAAGTACCTAATGATAAGGGCGCAGTATCACTCTGTCCAGATCGAAGGAAGGTACGTAGCAGAGCTCGAAAAATATTCTCCGAAAAATGTCCCGAAACAATGAATAAATAAATTCGTTAGACATTCGACAGTAGAATATGTATCGTTTCCTCGAGCATACTTTTAATTCAATGGTTTACGTTTCGACTGGGTCTCTAGATCACTGACGGTGAGATCTTTAGATCGCGAGATAATATAATCTCGTAATAATTTTCACTATTGCATGAATTTTATTTGTATGTATGTATGTATGTATGTATGTATGTATGTATGTATGTATGTATGTATGTATGTATGTATGTTTATTGCTTCCCCGCAGAGTTACAAGACCTCCACCTCCTTTTACAAAATACATCTTACCACTAACGTTATCCTTAATCGCATCAATTTTACCTTTCAAAATAAACATTCCCTTTACATTGTTTACTTATATGTGAATTTATTGATAGAGGAGAAATTAGAATTATCGGCTACTCGTTTTGTTAGTTTATTTCCACGTATATCCACGATGAAATATTTTCAACTTAAGGTTATTACGTTACAGTCTCCAGTTTGCAGTGCTGTCGACAGGAGCAATCTCGGCTAACGGAGAGAACAATAGCTTAGTCGAGTTGTGCGAGTGTCCCGAAGGATACACAGGACTCTCCTGCGAGGATTGCGAGTGGGGATACGTGAAAGTGTTAAAGAACGGGACGGATCATCGGGACCAACACATGTGCGTCAAGTGCGATTGCAATGGACATGCAAATACTTGTGATCTCGTGTTGGGAGAATGTACGGTGAGTACTGTTGGTTTTGTCTCCATCCTTGCAAACTCGCCTAACATTGATATGATCTTAATATTGATTATAATAAAAGGTTTTCAAAAAAAAAAAAAAAGGCTTCAGATTTTCTTTTTAAACAACACAAATGATATGGAGCACATATTATTTATTTTAATTGAAATGAAAATGTACATGATTACAATTAAATGTAAAAGATGAGACGCTGATAAGAGAATTTTAATACTACAAAATAAAATCGTAAACCCTTTTTTCTTTTTGGGAAAACCCTTTACAATATGCACATTGCTATTATGAAAATTATGAAGTGAATTCGTTGATAATCGAATGGTAAGTGTTCGTGGAATTAAAAATAAAACAATAGTACCGGTTTATTTAAGCACGATGTTTATTCTCTATTTTTACGAAAAACCTCAACATTTTATCTGTACATGTCCCCTCTGTGTCTTTTATTGTTTTGCAATTATACTTTATAAAATATTAATCTGAGCATACGCTATATTTCCCGTGCAGCAACATAATTAAAATGAAGTTTTAAGTATCTGTTAGACAAAATAATGTCAAAAATAGAAGATAATGGATTATAAATACCTTGCGTTAACGAACGTGTCATTGATATACTAATAAACGGTAGTAAATTGTAATTTGTGGATATAGTGAAGACACAAACCTGAGTCAACTTACGTAGATTCCTTCCTTACCTCGAGTAACTTAACCATCTGATGGTATAGCAGATATTGCAAGATAACTTCGACGAAACTTACCATAAGGGTGATTTGACTAATTTCTCATAAATTTAAAGTGGTATAACAGAAATGAGATCATATATGCACGTATATACTGCATAGCTAAATTAGATTAACTGTCAGTGAAGTAGGTTACAAATATTTGACAGGAACCTATTCAAATAATCATTAATTATTATTTCGGAAGATTTTCAACAGTTCAATAATTTGATAATTAGTAATTGAAAATTTCTAGAAGTTTCTTTTATGGAAATTATATTTCGCGGCACATTGTAAGCCTGCGCAATCGAAGATATCTAATTAGACTAACGTAAATATATTATATTTACCAACTGCCAGTACCTACTACTTCTGAATTAAAAACTTTTGAGACATACATAATGTTTCATTACTTGTTCTGCTTACTAAATCTAACAAACATATTAATTTTTAAAATCAAAACCAACATAAAACTATATTATCAATTCAACCTACATTAAAACAGTTAAGTTCAATTTTTGTAGGCACGTTCGCGAAGATTTTATTTTCCATAGAGGTCCGCAATCTACTTATTATATTTACAATAAAATTTTGTTTATTCTTTCTATTCAAAATAAAATTAAAAACTCTATAGTGCAAACACATTCGGTTGACCAAATATGCAATGAAAAGGAGTAAGAAACAATTTCTAATAAGAAATTACTTTCTCTCTAATAAAACTTTTTTTTTTCACGAAAATAAAAGATCTCAAATTGCAATTCTAATTTTGTTCAACAGACTTGCGAGCACGATACCGTGGGGCCTAAATGTGACCGTTGCGCTCTCGGTTTCTATGGTATTGCCCTCAGGGGTACACCGAATGATTGCAAGAGATGCGCCTGTCCACTTTTAAACGAGTCGAATAACTTCAGTCCAAACTGCCAGCTCGACGATCCTACCGATATCGATAGTGGATACGTTTGCACACAGTGCCCGAAAGGATACACCGGCGACCATTGTGAGAGGTAAGCCTAAATAATTGAACTCACATAAAATTCACTTTCAAGCGACAAAGGCGAGAACTTTCGCTTAATTAAAAACAGGTTAGGCATCGATTTTTAACTTGAATCGGGAACAAAATATCGCGATCTGTTAGATTCGGATTTTGATAAAATTTTGCACACGTGTTCGATGGTCCAACCTAAGAGCTATGCTATACTTCGTAGTTTTAGTTGATATTAAAAGAAAGATCATGAGTAGGGGTGTGCGGGATTCCCGTAAGATATCCGGGATTCCCGAAAATATCCTGGACTCCCGAAAATATTCGGGATTCTCGAGTTTATACGAGATTCGAGATTCCGGAGAATACACGAGATCCCGCAAAAATCCGGGATTCCCGAGAATGTACGGGATCTCGAAAAATGTACGGGATTCCCGACGATGTACGCGATATACAGGGTGTCCCAAAACTCGGGGAGGAGCCGGAAATGGGGGGTAGCTGAGACGATTCTGAACAACAATTTCCTTTGCAAAAATGTCAGATAGGGCTTCGTTAAGGAGATATTAAGCGAAATCCCGACCAATCAGAGCGCGCGTAGACCGTTGGAGCGGCCGCGGTAGCGAAGGCTACGCGCTAGGCGGCAGCGTCAATGTCCTTCGATGCACGTCGAGTCACTTGTTCGCGTACAAGCGCGGCCGTCGGCGCGTAGCCTTCGCTACCGCGGCCGCTCCAACGGTCTACGCGCGCTCTGATTGGTCGGGGTTTTCGCTTAATATCTCTTTAACGAAGCTTCATCCGACATTTTTGCAAAGGAAATTGTCGTTCAGAATCGTCTCAGCTACCTCCCATTTCCGGCTCCTCCCCGACTTTTGGGACACCCTGTAGAATAATATCTGGAAGTTCCGAAAGTATTGTTATTCTTGAAAATGTCAGCGATCCGAATGTACGAGATTTCGAAATTCCCGGGAATCCCGAACATTTACGGGATCTCGAAATTCTCGGGAATCCCGAATGATTTCGGGATTCTGAAATCCCGATCCCGGGAGGAATTCCTGTCACGACCGGGATCCCGCACACCGCTAATAATGAGGTCTAGTTTGAGACGCTGTGGTAGTATTTGCGTTGAATTTTTTGCGTTTTTTTTTTCAACAGCTGCGACATAGGATTTTTTGGAAATCCTTTAATCCCTGGTGACACTTGCGAGCCATGCCTTTGCGGCGGAGGTCCTTGCGATCAGGAAACAGGACGCTGCCTGGAGTGCCGTGGCAATACAGAGGGCTGGAAATGCGACAAATGCAAGCAAGCTCATTACGGAAATGCGTTGGAACAGAACTGCTTACGTGAGTACCCTTGGTTGAATCTGTTTCGCCACTGCTCCGATATTATCGGACCGATGTAACGTTCCATTTAAGGAGACTGGGCATTCAAATTGCTCCAAAATGAATGAATTAATTCTCAATAAAATGAATGCAAGTCCCGGCTTTTCCTTTCATAGAATGTTTATATGCATCTTAACGAATATTTAATTAGATAAACGTGCGCTAAAAATAGCGCTACACGAAGCTTATTAAAGGACCATTTTTAAGAATATCGGATGGTATTATAGGATGATTTAAGGATTAAAAACAGGATATTAATATTCCCTTATACATGGTTATTCTAGAAACCTGTACTTTTAAACTGAACATGCGGAAGAAGAAATTAAACCACAGGTGTCCAAATAACGGTTACAAGACGATGACATTCCAGTTTTCATTATGAAAGCGATTGATTTTACTTTTTTTTTTTTTTAAGTATTAAGAAGGGCATTTTCCAAAAAGTGTTTTCATAAGTTGAGTAAAAAATTATAAATTTCCAAAGTCGACATTACGAAGGAAATTTCGGTACCTTTAATTTGGAAGCAGGGATTATTGCAAAGTCGATAGAGCTTTTTAAAAGTAGTTCATTATTATTGAATCATTACACAATGGCGAAAAATCGAAAAAAGTAAAAACGCTCATAGCAATTTACGAAGAAAAAAACGTACTAAACGATATGTTGCATTATATTGTGGCCTTAATTTTTAGGTGACACAAAATACAGCAAAAAATTATATGAGAAGTCTCCAAATAGCGTACGTCAATATTAACAAAGGAATACTACATAATATATGAATAATTATGGAGATAATCGCTTCATTTAACGATGAGTAGAAGCCATGGCACAAATCAAATATTTGCAAATTAAACGAAAATCAGTTGTACAGTCATTCGTCATCTTGCACCACTTTCCCGTATAAAATCTATCTATGAACAGTATTATTGCATCCCTGAAATGTGTGCAAGAAGAATCCTTTTTATAGCAATCATTTCTCGATCCTCGGGGGTTGTAGTTATGCCTGATTGTATACAGTACGGTCTTAGCGATCCCGAGGTACTCGAGCTATAGCGAGGCCAGCGAACCTCAACAAAACATATAAAATAACGTAATGTAAGAAGTTAAAGATTCATGTCGAAGGAAAAAATACATATGCGCAAGACTGGTGATTTGTAACAAGCACAACTGGGCCGATAGGTCCACTGATCAATGTAAAACAGATTACGAACCTTTACAAAATACAGAAACAAACAAACAAACAAGTAATCGTTTATGAATCGGAATGTTTCGATTCGTTCTTTATAATGTAAAGAAAAATACCCGCAAGGGAGTACTTGTTGAGGATAAAAAGAACCGCTTCTTTAACAACGATAATGAAAATATATATTTCTGCGCGTGTCAAAAATAACAAAAAGAAGGTTTCAGATTTCGATACAAGTGTTTGCTATCTGATAAAATAAAATAACCTCGATCCTTTCGGGAATTCACCCATCGGTTTCGAGGACTTCGCAAACCTATATCTCAACAGAATGCGACAAAGCTTCACCATTCCGCGAGCGTATTAATTTAAAAATGAAAATGGCGTTGTTGCAGCTTGCGACTGCGACCCCCTCGGCAGCAATTCCGTCGAATGCGACGAGAGCGGCGGTCAGTGTCCCTGCAAGCCTTTGTTCGAGGGTCGTGACTGTTCCTCCTGTATCGAAGGTTACGGGAACGTGACTGCAGGTTGCCGGGAATGCGACTGCGACGTGGGTGCCCTCGACGAGGTCTGCGATCCCGTAACCGGTGAATGCAGGTGCGCGGACGGCGTCCTTGGCTTCCGGTGCGATCGTTGCGACGTCGACCATTACGGCTTGTCCGTGGGAGGCTGCAAAGGTAAGTACCGTTTGAGCATTTTTCAAGAACGTCGCGTCATCCCGCCAGCCAATGTCTTCTCCTGCGCGAGTTTAAGGGTCAATCCGGACTCCGTGCGAGTTTCCGTTCCGTGGAACACAAGTTCAACGTAATCTTCCGTATCTCGCATCTTTACATCCTGCAGCCTCGTGGCTTGGGTAAACCATTAGTGCAAGTGTAGTCGTATATTTAATCGGATAAACTCGCGGATTCCTCTTCTTGTTTTGGCTGGGGTTAAGTCGAGCTCATAGTCGTTTGATTCCTACTTACACGAGTAACTGATACATTGCGTAGTTGTGAGTTAATAATGCTAATCTTAAGGATTGCTGTGATACCATTGGGAAGTGGTTGAGATTGCACCGTCGCTGGTCGAGATGTTTCGTAAAATTTGTGAATGTTGCAGAATGCTCTAGATTCAGAGAAAATACATATGTATGATATTTAAAGGGATAAGGGAAATCTTGTGATGAGTACACCCCCGATCAAAAGTATATGGACACTTTCTTAATTGAGATAAATATCTAGTCAAAGTTGCGAATCTATTAATATCGATTATGTCATTTATGTTTCGATACGTTTATGTTGCGTTAGCGAATTTATTTTATTAGTAGTTTTTTTTTGGTAATATCACGTTAGTAATGATGAAAGACTGTAGAGATAACTGGATAATGTTAAAATTTCTTTTACCAAACTTGGATAATATTGATTTCTTCATCATATCCGAAGTAATATTGTCTCATTTATTTTGTAATATTTCGCTATAAATGTTTTTGCTATATTCAACAACTTTTCTGATGTTTCCTATCTAAACGATCCCATTAGCTCCACTATAAAATTTTATATGGCACTCGAAACGTTTAACATTAAAATATTACTCGTATAAATACTAATCCTATATAGAATTTAGCAACGAAAGTTGTATAGTAATAACTCACGGTGTAAATTAATTATTCATTGAAGATAGTAAATGTCCACACATTTATGAACGAATAATAATTTCTCCAAATGGTTAATATTCTCGCATCACTTCAATTTTATTCGATTACTAATACAAATATTGGGACAATGAGAAACTTCTAGTATAATATCTTACAACGTAATTCGCCAATACTATAATTATTCAAATCATACTTTTCCAAGCGAGTTATCATTTCAATCATTATTCGTAAAGCATAGAAGTTGGTCGATTCCAAAGTACTCAGCATTACATAGATTCACCGAGAATTGCCATTTCTGCCGCGCAGGCGTTGCCATTTTTCAGCAAATAACGCACCGCGAGCGCCAGAAATTGTATTCCAAATCCCTTCGAAAGTATTTCCAATTCTAACGAAATCTCCAGGAAATCGCCCCTTTCGCGTGCCATAGTTTCGTCTGCTAGAATGCGAAGTGTAGGTTTCTGAACGTAGGAAACGGCGTTTCGTCGCGCAACACCGCGAGGAACGCGATGTTGAGTAATGCATAACGCTTCGTCTTGTTCTAACTAAGCCCTGGATGTTTATCTCCTGGCTTCTTTAAGTATGGGGCACTTATCCGACTGGACAGGAGTCGTGAGTTCGGAATGTTACTCGAGATTTACAAGACTCGAACCACCCTTACCCAGCGGAACACTTCTAACGTACAATTTCTTTCGCTTATTGTTAGTTTTAATTTACGATCGTGATTACCGTGCGCGGTACCGTGTTAGAGGTTGCAGGTTCAGTGCAACAAAGTCCAATCTGGAAGCCTAGAGATTCAGAGTGTTTGTAAATGTTGGAAGCGAGTAAAATCGTCCATTGAAGTAATTGCAGATTTTTCTTTTTTTTTTTTTTTTTTTTTTTTGTGAAATAGTTGAGGTTTTTTTATTTTTATACAGAATATCTAATAATGGATGGCACCCATACTTTTTAGAATTAATACATTTACAATACCGAGGGTGAGTGACTGGTTTGGTTTGTGTGTATCTGGTTGAAGCAAAAAAATAAAAAAAAATCAATTTAAAATTCATCCCTCGAGAGGTTACGTGTGTAACAGGTGATTCGATTTTTTAAGTAACTGTATCTAGAGTCACAAGTCACTCGTGGATTACGCAACTTACATGATCCCTGGTTATAACGACGATGACGAGGATGGAGAAACTGGAGAACATTAAGAGCGTTTACGCGAGCATTGGGCTTCACGTTGAATGATTACGATTTATGGGATTCTTTGTGGTAGCTGATCTACGAGGCCGATCTTGAACCTCCTCGTGAAACCTACCAGCGATAGTAGACTTAAAGGGGCCTCCACAACTGATCGCATTCTATTTCGCCGACAATTTTACACAGCGACACACTATTTACACTTGCAATTGGTTCGTTTTTAATATTTCGCTGTATGTATGTCACCATTACATAATGTTCTTTGGAACAAAAGATACAAAAATAAACGTCAGCTGTGAAAATTCTTCGAAGAATGAATACATCGATATTTGTAAAAATTTAATTTGGAAAATCAGGCTTCGAAAGGTTAAACCTTTCCTGTTGAATTTATACGTAATATTTCATTATTTTACACTAGAATAAGGCAACTCTGTTGTTCAAAGCATTTGTTGCGTTTCAAATATTAATCTATAATAGAAACGTTCTATAGTAGACAATATAAATATAAAACTAAAACCGCGATAACAATAAAAATAAGAGAATAATAAACTATTGTTATTTTCTTTTATTTTGACTGTTGGCCATCTTTCGTAAGAGGATTTCCACGCTAGCTTCTAATGCAGAAGAAAACGAAATTATTACTTTATACCCTTGCAAGTTATTTCCTGCAAGAAAGCGTGAGATCGAATCCTTATTTACGATTGGTCGAAACTGCATTCGAGACACCGTATCTCACAACTGCTCCGAGATACAAGAACAGATACCATAAGATACGGCGCAGGATTTTAGCTCGCTTTAGCTCATTCCAGCCGAGCCACGACTTGTCCGAGATGTTAATTAACTTCCTGCGACCACGGCAACGCGACGCTTCTTTCTTTCTCGCCTTCGAACGACACGCTTCGTTTAACCTAGTCAGCTCTATTTAACTTATAGACGCGTCCTTTACGCTTTTCTTTATCCCACAATTCGCCCAATGAACTATTTATCGAGTTCGATTTCATCCAATTTTAAGTTACATTTGATAATTTGACGGGCCATCGCTGTCACAGATAGTTCAACGAGGTGTTCTGATTTAACCAGTTCAAAAAACAACGTTTTAAAATTATATTATCAGAATCTTCGAAATATTTAACAGTATTCATTAATTAGAAATTTTGGTTTTCTTGGATCTTTAGTAATATGATATAAAGTGAAAGTATATTATTTTTCTGAAACACTTAAGTTTGTACACGTATGCCATTTCAACTGCCTATTGATCTTTAGCCGGCGTTCGATGTATTTAGATTATCCAAATATTGTACTGTATGACCACATAATCTTTAAAAGGAACTGCTTACATCGTTATTGTAATTAGTTCCGGTAAATATACGTATTTAAATAAAAAATATACAACCATACGTTTCTCTAAATAAACATTTTCGAAGAAGACCTAATTGACAGGAGCAGAAATATTTATACTTGTAGACACATAATACACAAATATACTAATTATTAATTTATAAAAAATGATGTAACATCTGAAGATTGTCTTCATCTATAACTTATTTACGTAACTCAGAATGTAAAATTATTATTCACTGTATGAACCGAACGGGATATTCGTAAACCGTTCATCATTTCTCATATCGATTCGGATGCCGAATAATCGATAGTCTATATTCAAACGTATTTTCAGTGTACCGAAAAATTCCACTGAAAAATAAACGTGAATGTCAGAAACAGATTGCAACGATGACCCTAATATTCTGTGCTCTGCCACCACGGTTATCCCTCTTGAAGCACTCCTCGCGTCAAACATTTGCATATCGTGAGACAACTTTCACGGAGACGACGCTAATTCATTCTGGACCTTCTTCCATCGACCAGCCACAATGGCGCGTTGTCCGAACGAAGCGAATTGCGATGATTTCGCACTAAGGAAGAATCGCTCGAGTGACTGATGCTCCTCGAGATCCACGCCGAAGGCGGCTGCCTCGTATTAAAAAGCTAACTCGATTGTCCACCTACACTTTCCTCCGCGTTAAACAGCGCACCTTCGTTGTATGCTGATGCGCGAATATATTTTGCGTTATTAACGACGAGAGACTGAATAAACAGACGACCGTGAAACGTTTATCACATGTTGGTTCTTTAAAGGACTAAGCGGTGAAATTGTTCCAAAATACAATAGAATTTCGATTGTCCGAAGTAATTTGATGGTACAAAGAGAATTTTCGGTTAACACGTTCGTTGCCAGGGCTGATACTCGTAAAAATGTCTACCGAGTTCAAATTTCGTCTCGAGACTATCGAAGACTAGATTAGAACGTAACATTTGTCGTAGCATTTAATTTCTTAACCTCGTGAAACTCGCGAATCCTATCCACATTTATTTTTATTAACGCCTCACCTTTGAAATTTTCTTTTTTAGTTTCTCAATGAGAAGTCCTGTCGCCCATGGTGACGCGACGACCAACGTGTTAATAGAATATTCTTTCTAGTTTATTAATGTTCATCATCAAAACGACGTTTAATAAAACGATAATATCTCTCAGTGATGAATTGGATCGCGAAAAACCCGCCCGCGGTAGCGTAGGCTACGCGCTAGGCGGCCGCACACTGATTGGTCGAGGTTTTCTGTTAATAGCTCCTCAACGAAGCCTCGGACAATATTTTTGCTAAGGAAAAAATTCTTTCAAATCATCCCCCGAACCACCTCTTTCAAGGACCTTCAACATTTTTGGACTCTGTATATATTAGCATTCTATATGCGGAAAGGGAGATGTGTGCGTTATCGGTGTACGTAAACACAGCTAAGGAGACTACTCAGTCGACGATAAACGGTCTGTGAAAACACACGT